GTTCGTTGAATCAGTAAGGGTATTTTGAATTATTTTATCTGTCAAACATATGTAAACATAAGTTATTTTGATAGTAACCCTCTCTAGGTCAAACAAAGCAACCCCAAGCATGCATTGTGTTTTTGCGTTTAAGTCAATTATAGTTAAAGAGTGTGGCGGTATCTGGAATTCTTTACCAGTCCAAGATGGTGAAATTATTCTAGCAAAAAGGTTTAGCACAATATAATGTATTGTTGGTTATGATTTCTATTTTTATCTTTTGAGAGGTCAACCTTTTTTCTTTTTTTTTTTAAGGTTAGAGTTTTAGATGGCCCTGCTATTTTCTGAGGTGTAAACGTTTCTCTTCTGTAAAGCATGGATAGCATTAGCTGATGGCCAGCAATGATTAATGTGTAACTTTAATCACTTCAAGTGTCTATTTTTTTCACTTTTTTCTTTCTTGTTGATCTTTATGGAATTTAATCAATTTAAGGCATTGATGAATGGCCAGGAAATCAAATTCACAGTCACAACTATAGCATTCCAAAGTCTTTCCAAAATCAAGTATGTATCAAGTGCAATGTTTTCCTTTCTTGTTAGAAATTTCAAGTCAAATTTGAAGTGAAATAACTGTTTGGATATGATATCACTGTGCAGAGGCCAAAACAATGTGAAGAATGTAGAATCAGAGATCTGCCCTCTCTTACAAACTTTATAATATCAATTCATTCCTTTTTAATGTAGTGTACTCATTTCCTAATATTGTTTAAAATATAACACTCTTAACATGTATATCTACCCACCAATCTTTATAGTGCACGTATCTTACTATAATAAAAAAGACAGTTTTGGGTTACTGTAGATGCAACAGTAACCCAATGAGATGTTACTGTTCATTCCCAGATCTTCACACCTTTAGTCCTTCAGTTTTATATCAATGTTTTTTCCCCCAATCTACTATAAAAACGTCGAACACATGCTTCCTTTGGTAATCTGAAGTTTAAACAATACATTGCCTGAATCTTAGATTTTGACTTCACATACGATGCAAATAGATGAATCTGAGTCAACGAAGTAATACTGTAGCTTCTACCTTGTTTGGAGCAACATCTCTAACCCGAAAAAACACTGGGTCTTGTATACTAGCACCCAAATGCTTCCTATAACTAGTAAACCTCAGTTTAGATGCAACACACACAAGAAAGATGATGAACAGTCTTATGGCGAAACAACATTATGAAATTTCGTGTGGAGATATCTTATAATTAAAAAAAAAAAAATAGTCTCTGCGATGCGCGGAGAGTGTGCAGAGACACCTCACATTTTTTTTAAAACTTTGGATACAAGTCTTCCTTTTTTTTTTTTTTCAAATTGACTTTTCTTTTTCTTGTTATTAAATTTGGGCGATACCATTTGCTTACATTTTATACAAACTAAATACAATTTCACTTATTAATAATTTGCTATGTACTGTTTGTATTTATAATAGTATGATATATTGAAATTTAAGTTAGATTTACGTATAAGTTGAAGGGGCACAATGAAATATATCACTCAAGCAATGGTGCCCCAGATCAAGTACGTATTTTACTGTCACCATATATTTGTTTGACTAGTGTTGACACGTATTAATGTATTTTATCATTTCCTATTTCTTAATTTATAGGATTGGTACAGTGCTGAATTAGAACTAGTTGGTTCAAATAGCAACGTAGCAATTAATGAACATGTGAGTAAATATCGAGTTCATTTTCTAGTTATTTGACTACATTTGTTATTTATTATGAATAATGGTTTGTATTGGATTACAGGGTAAAATGATGTCATCAAGAGGTCATGGCTTGTCACCAACCCCAAACACGAATAACAAAGGGCCAATGCGATTCATTCCAACCCCCAGAATATCTGGACATACAACTTGTGATTGAAGGGAATACCGATGGATTTTTTTGTTGGATTTTGTGTTGGAATATTGTAGCTGTTTTTGGTTAGGGCAGAAATTTTGAGCCATTACGCCAACTCTTTTGTATTTCAGTAGAGCAGTTCTTTTGTAAGAAGAAATTGTGGCAGAAATTGTTGTTTTTGTTATACATGCTTATTGTCTATTCGACTTTTGACAATATGTTTCTTTTGCAAACTAAATATGCACAAGAGTATGAAACATTGGGAAGAGGTAACTATTTCATAAAGCAGTAAAAAACAATTATATAAAATTCTTACAATAAAGTCTTCTATTGAAGTCTTACGACATACATAATTTACTACATTGACGATTACACAAACATGGACTTCGATAAGTACAAAAATAAGTCTTCAACTTCGATAAACATGGACTTCGACGAGGTCACTCAACTTTTTCCTTTCCTTTTCCATCAGTCTCGATAAGGCCTCTTCCTTTGCGCATGGTAATATTGATGGATATCTCGATGTCTTTTTCTTTAGTTATTTGAGCACATTTGTTGAACATACACGACAGGTCTCGACAACTCGATTTCGCAACAGACTATTCCTCATCCTTCCATTGAAAATGACCACAATCCCTAGTGTAACAGTAGAACAACTTCCTAATGTTTGAAGTGTTTTTCTCCACCTCCATACATTTCTCAAATCCATGCCCACATTTCGGACATTGTTTCTTTGTTGGCCAGTCCGACAAGTAGTGTCCATGCTTTCTACAACTGTGACATATGCCCTTGTTCTTCCCTACCATGACACTTGAAACAATATAAAGGTGTACAAAGTAATTAGCACAGTAATGCAAAAATAAAAAATAAAAAAAATGCATGATGCTACGGCAAATAGGGGCAATGCATATGATATTATATGTTTTTTCACACAACGATAATCTATGTTTGGTTTCATATAAGAATTATTTATTACATTTATCCAGTATTACTTCTGGTACACATGTAGTCGTTTGACTGTATTGCCTTTGACACTGTTGCGTTTAATGTTTCTTCCTGCATCTTCGTTTTGTCATGATGTTATACCTGCCTGTTAAAAAAATTTGCTCAGGAACCTGATAACTGTTTTTTCTTTCAGATTTACTTTGATCAGCTTGAGTTTTGTTTCTTCATAACCAATGGCCTCTTTGGATATATCTCTTGAAGATAAAGAACAGTTGTAGTAGTGACAGAGGTAGGGGACTAGGTAGGCCTCGACGTGGTAGAGGTTCAGGTCGATCATTTAGAGGTGGAAGAACAATTGGGACTCAACCTAGAGGCCAACTCAGCTTAAATGCTCGACCGTCAATCTACACCATTGCCAAAAGGTTCTGTTTATGCTATAGAAAATCAAGTGCAATAGATATTGTGACTCTATTTGGTTCAGGGAGAAGACCACAGTAACTCAACAGAAACAAATCCACAGTAATCTTAGTGTTGCTGCTTTATTTCTCCTCACATGGACAACTTCATTCCAGGATCAACAACCAACAAGATTTTTACAACCAGTCATTTGCAAACCCACTTTAGCTATTGTCCATTACAGTAAAGAAGGCTCTACCACATAAACAACCATACAATAATTCCTTATCTAATTCCATCATACATATTAAGCACTGCCTATTAAACACGTAGTATTAATTTCCAAGGCACATATGAATCACTAAGCATTAACATTACTGTCTCTTTCCACACAGAAACAAATTTGACAAATTTTTCAGCACCAAAACATAGACCAAATAATAGAGCAATGCAGATTCAGTGAAGCCATTCTTCAACGATTCCATAAACGAACCCATTATTGAAAAAAATGTTCATGAATAAAAATGCAATTAACCAGAAATTGAGAATTGTTTACCTTCAAGGAAATCTATATTGGTTGAACAAGTTCGTTCTAGGTGGGGCGATTTCAGTTCGGGCAAGATTTAGGGCTCTTTCAACGAATGTTTTGGGGTAATGTAGTGCGGCTTTAGGTCTTATTTTCGAAAATGTAAGGGAAGCAATTTGGGCAAGTCGACATTTAGGGAGATTTTCTATTGAATTTGGGTGGGGGATTTCGAATTGGGGGAATCTCTCTCAATGTAGACCTAATTGAAGGTGAACGGGGGTTTTCCAAAACTTAATGTCTTACGTGGCCAAGGAAATGACGCCGTCACTGCCACGTCGGACTCCATTAAGCCACCTGGGCTAACTTCCAAATAGGTGGCTGTTTGGTGATGGAAGGAAGTAACCTTCAGCAAGTTCAGTGATCAATTAGAAGCATTACTAAGTTGAGTGATCACAACGTGACAAAGTTAAAAATTCAGTGATTAGAAACTTTTTACTCATAAATGAACTCGGCACAATAAATTTAGAGAGATGAGGCCATGAGGGTGATACCTTTTCACTAAAAGAGTACTTTTGAGAAAGCAAGCTCATGTATTAATTCTTAAATCACAATAGGAAAGCGTGACGAGATAGAATAAAGTACTGTACATGAAATTCCCACTTGGTAACTCGTATATAAATGAGATATACGGCAAACCCAAGATTTTCATTTCTTCGTATCAAACCCTAGAATTTCAACTCAATTGGACTTTGAAGATTGACTCTTTCGCATGTAAAGATTCTAAATTTCACAGTTCAATTGCAGAGGTCAGTCTTAATTCTCAATTTCTGACTCTTTTTCGCCTAGAGCGATTGAAATTGTGTGGAACTAGGGTTTTTAAATTGGTCTTTTTGCTTTTCTATGTTGGTTGTTCTGGGTATCGTTTTGTTTAAGTTGTTTGTGGAGTTACTGCACACGGTTTCAGTTTGATTACGTTAATTTCTTGATTTGTTTTAATTTTACTGCAATTGATTAAAAATACGATTTATATTTTATATTTTATTTAATATGATGCTGATATATAGGGTATGGGTTTGGATTTTACGGTTTTTCATGTGAAAAAATGTTTTTGGATTGCTGCAGGTAATTTGAAATATATCAATTGTGGAGAAAACAAAAGAAGAGATTTCTGAGTTTTGGGGTGTTGCTTTGAGAATTTGAGGAAGGATATATTTATTTTTGAGGAGAGAGACAGGAGAGCGTTTGTGAAAATGATGTCAAGATCGTATACCAACCTTTTGGATCTAGCATCTGGGAATTTCCCAGTAATGGGCAGGGAGAAGGAGCGGAAGCGGTTCCCAAGGGTAATGACAGTCCCGGGTAGTATCGTGGAGCTTGATGATGATGCTGCTAATAGCGTCACATCTGAAACCCCATCATCAGTTGCCAGTGATAGAATTATTATTGTAGCAAACCATTTGCCTTTAAAAGCAAAACGAAGGCCAGACAATAAAGGATGGAGTTTTAGTTGGAATGAGGATGCTTTGCTTGTTAAAGATAGCTTGCCAGAAGACATGGAGGTCCTTTATGTTGGGTCATTGTGCGTTGATGTCGATCCAATCGAAGAGGATGATGTTTCCAATTATCTTTTGGAAAAATTTAAATGTGTACCCACTTTCCTTCCACCTAATCTTCTGGAAAAATATTATGATGGCTTTTGCAAGAAGCAGTTGTGGCCCCTTTTTCACTATATGTTGCCATTTTCAGCTGATCATGGGGGCCGGTTTGATCGTTCCATGTGGGAAGCTTATGTTTCGGTCAATAAGATCTTTTCTCAGAAAGTGATTGAGGTGTTAAATCCTGAGGATGATTTTGTTTGGATTCATGATTATCATTTGATGGTGTTGCCCACATTCTTGAGAAGGCGCTTCCTCCGATTGAGAATGGGATTTTTTCTTCACAGCCCTTTTCCGTCATCCGAGTTGTATAGGACGCTCCCTGTTAGAGAAGAAATTCTCAAGGCTCTACTCAACTCTGATCTTATTGGTTTCCACACATTTGATTATGCTCGACATTTCCTCTCTTGTTGCAGTCGGATGCTGGGCTTGGAATATCAATCAAAAAGAGGTTATATAGGGTTGGATTATTATGGAAGAACAGTTGGTATAAAGATTATGCCAGTTGGAATACATATGGGCCACATTGAATCAGCAATGAGACTTGCAGATAAAGAGATGAGGTTTACAGAGCTAAAGCGGCAATTTGAAGGTAAAACAGTGTTCCTGGGAATTGATGATATGGATATTTTCAAAGGTATCAACTTGAAACTTTTAGCTATGGAACACATGCTCAAGCAGCATCCTAACTGGCAAGGAAGGGCTGTTCTGGTCCAGATTGCAAATCCTGCAAGAGGGAAAGGAATAGACTTGGAGGAAATTCAGGCTGAAATAGAGGACAACTGCAAGAGAATTAATGAGGAATTGGGGAAGCCTGGGTATGAACCTGTTGTTTTTATCAACAGGCCTGTATCAAGCAGTGAAAGGATGGCATATTACAGCATCGCTGAATGCGTTGTGGTCACTGCTGTAAGGGATGGGATGAACCTGACTCCTTATGAATACATTGTCTGTAGACAAGGAATACCTGGTGCAGAGACAGCTTTGAACTTGAGTGGACCCAAGAAGAGCATGCTAGTTATTTCGGAATTCATTGGTTGTTCTCCTTCTCTAAGTGGTGCTATTCGCGTTAATCCTTGGAATGTTGAATCAACTGCCGAGGCAATGAATGAGGCTATATCAATGGCTGAATCTGAACGGCAGTTGCGACATGAGAAGCATTATTGTTATGTCAGTTCCCATGATGTAGCATTTTGGTCTAGGAGTTTCTTGCAAGACATGGAGAGAACCTGTGCTGACCATTCCAGGAAAAGATGCTGGGGCTTTGGTCTAGGCTTTGGATTTCGAGTAGTGTCATTAGATCCTAGTTTTAGAAAGCTTTCAATGGATCATATCGTGGCAGCTTACTGCAGAGCTAAAAACAGGGCCATATTGTTGGACTATGATGGCACTTTGATGCCTCAAAATTCAATTATTAAGAGTCCAAGTGCAGAAGTTATCTCTATCTTGAGCAGACTTGGTGGAGATCGAAAGAATACAGTCTTCATGGTGAGTGGAAGAGGGAGGGACAGCCTAAGCGGGTGGTTTTTTCCTTGTAAGAAGCTAGGACTTGCTGCAGAACATGGCTATTTTTTGAGGTGTGTTCTCTACCATTTTCCTTTGTCAATTTATCAATTTATTTATTTTTTCCTTTCCCTGGTAGGTAAAGTTGCTGCAATGGGTTAATATGAGGTAAACTGTTAAAGCTCCAGATAGTCATTTACTCTTCATTGGGGTTAAATCTTGCATAAGCTATATTCTGGACTTCAACCCACCATGATCTAATTTTTATACCATCAGCTTTAATCATTGAATAGTACCTAATAGGCTAATACACTGTCAGCTATCTTTTATATAGATTTGAACTATTATGAGTTTAATGGGATGCAATAAAGTGCTGTTGCACTTCGGTTATGAAATGAAATTATCAGTTAGTGTTATATTCGAAAGGAAGAAAACTTATGCTAGGCAGCCATATGTGGGTGCAGATAAGACGTGCCTAAATGTGACTTACTAAAAGGAGAGATTTGAAACTTGTTACCTAATCTCATTTCAGTGCAGAGGCAGAATTTGGCAAAGAATGTGTTGGAATGATTTACTAGGGATTAGTTTTGATGTTCAGGCAATGTCTATTACCACATACAAAGGGATTGATTTGTAGTGAGCACATTGTTTGATTTCTTTTGTTTTTAGTTGGGTGGAATTTCTGGTGAATGTAAACTTTACTTGATGTTCATTTTCCATTTTTATTGTACATATTGTATAACATCTAATTTTAATCTACATGATGTTCCTGTTGGTGGGTATGTAGTTAATGTATTAGTTAGATCCAGTGCACTTCAACGTCTAAAGTCTATGCCCCTGTTTGATTTAGATAAAAATCAAAATTTTAATAGATTTTTATAAAAGATGACGGAATGTGTGGTTGAAAAGTTGTGGGTCTCATTAAATGTGTGATTAAAATTAATTACTAATATTGGTTTAGATTTTAATCAGCTTTTTTAGCTGAACCAAATAGGGGCTATATCTAAACTAGTGTTATAGCCCTGAATTCCAATGCGGCAAATTTTTCTTTTTCTTTAATCTCTTATTCTTGCTACTGATTTAATCATGGGTAGCATTGTTCTGGTGCTGCTCTTACTTGACGACTTATTTACAGCATGATTGGCAAAGCTTATAATTGTTTACAGACCAGTCAAAAACTCTCTTATTAACCACAAGATCTAGAACTTTTATCTACTTATTATCGACACATTTCGTAGGACCCACAATAATTAGTTATAAGCTTTGACAGACGCACTTAATTTTTTATTTGCTATGTTTGGAGAATGGTTATGAAGATTTAAGCTATAAATATTTTATATGAAGGCCAGATGGACCTGTTTTGCTTCTTCGTGCCTTCCTTCCTTCCGACCCTCTCACTCTCTTTCTCTCATATTTAATTGCAAAGGTTTGCCAAATTTTGATAATGGAATTTCACAGGTGGCCGCAACATGAAGAGTGGGAAACATGTGGCCAGAGTTCTGAATTTGGATGGATGCAAATGGCGGAACCTGTTATGAAATCATATACTGAGGCTACTGATGGATCCTGCATAGAAAGAAAAGAAAGTGCTGTAGTCTGGCATTATCAGGATTCAGACCCTGGTTTTGGTTTTTCTCAGGCAAAGGAGATGTTAGATCATTTAGAGAGTGTTCTATCCAATGAACCTGTTTCCGTGAAGAGTGGCCAGTTCATTGTAGAAGTCAAGCCTCAGGCATGTATTGTGATCTCTATTCTCAGTTTTGCTACTTCTTATCTATGCTGCTATTTTGTATCAATTGTTTCTTTTGCAGTGGATGTGTTACTAGACATGAGTATATATATTTAATGTATTCTTGAGTTCTGTTTGCTTCATTTCTTTTGTTTCCTCGCTTATCAGTTTCGACCAACTTTTGTCCCTTAAATAGTTTCGACTTCTTATAATGTAAAGCATTAACTTTCAGTGTGTATTGCTTTTATTTTTTATAGTGGTTGTGGGTTGGCAGATAATATTTGATCTTGATTGCCTTATAATATGCCACTGAAGCACAACACACTCAATTAGCAAAATGAGATATTCAGTATTTTGAATGCTTTTTTTGTTTCTCCAGGGAATTAGCAAAGGTCTAGTTGTAGAAAAGATTTTCACATCAATGACACAGAAAAGGAAACAGGCTGATTTTGTGCTCTGCATTGGCGATGACAGATCGGATGAGGACATGTTTGAAATCATTGGTACTGCAGTGTCAAGAGGCATTCTTTCTTACAATGCTGAAGTGTTTGCCTGCACAGTTGGGCAAAAACCAAGCAAAGCCAAATATTATTTGGATGACTCATCTCAGGTTATAACCATGCTCGAGTCTCTTGCTGAAGCCACTGATTCTCCAGCCTCATCTGATGAGGAAGCCGATAGCTCCTTGTAAAAATGTATTCAGGTTTATCGTATGTTTGAATTTGTTTCGACTGCCAATTGAAAGTCATCCACGTTTGGCAGGCTTACTATATATATATGTTTACATTGGTAAGATTTTAGGTACAAGGAAATGAGATGTAGTATTTTCCTGTTCTCTATTCCTTCTCTCGCGTTATTCTTTAACCCCTTTTTTTTTTGGATAGAATATGCGTTTAAGTGGAGTAGAAAGAATCTTGTTAATTATCGTTTTAGGTGAACCCAGAAAAAAAAAGTGGAAGTTTGGGAGAGGTGGTCCGTGGTCAACTCATTTCAGCATAAGATTTGGGTATTGAAGAATTGGGTCATTTGTAGCAACTCTGGACAACTTTATTCGATTGAGATGAACAATCAGCCTACGACTTTGATCTGAGAGCTGAAATTTTGCATCATACTGATTTCTGAAGAACTGTGCTGAGATTGATCAAGATCAGTATACATCAGATCAGAAACAAAGGTTACCTGGACTTTGAGAGAGCTTTGATGCTTGAAATGATTTTTATCTGATGAGGGGAAGAGTAAAATTCTGTGGCAGCATCAGCATGTAGATAGGCATTATCTACATTTTTTTTTTTCTAAATTTCCTGCTTCACACCAAAAAGGAGTAAGAGAATTGGTGTAATGTATTGGTGAAAATCACCCCGGTTTCTACGTCTTGGGGCATTTAGCAGCAACAGGTTAGAGAAATAGGTAAGGAATGCTGGCACGGGCACAATTTTTTTCTTTTTTTTTGGGGTTCATTTTGTTCTTTTGGGGGCAGACCTAATTAAATTTATGCAATAATGCTACTCGTACATTCGGGGTTGACAACCCTACATGTAATAAACAAATCATGTCTGGGATGTCAACCCAAGAGGTACAAGTAGCACGATTGAACTTTATGTGAATATAGGTGTAGTAGGTGAGATAATGCCCGCGACACATGCATGCACTCAGTATTTTGGTGTTGGTGGTGATGGATGGGGTTGAACAAGGGTAGTTGGAGTGAATTATGTTATTTATTATTATGATGATGGAACATCGGTGATGTGACCGTCTATGTGGAATAATTGGATGATATGCACAATGTTTATTTGATATGAGGATGAAATGCACCAAAATATGGAGTTTTACACAACATTTGCTTGATTTGAGGATGTATTGCGTTAAATAAAAGGATAGAGATGAGGGCGAATGATATGTTTGTTTTGTGTCAGAATTCATTTAAATTTACTATTAGTATTTACTTTTTTATAGTTATATACTGATTAATATCATCTGCACTTTGATTTTAGAAATTTAGGGCCTGTTTGGCTGATGTTTCAATTTTGAATTTATTTTCAGTTTTCTATATTCAAAGTCTATTTTAAGAATGCTAAAAATGTGTTTGTTTGTCATTTTGAAAAATTATTCTCAAAATATAAAATTAAAAACACCCTTGGTTTGAAATTTTATTTAGTAAAAATAAAATAATTTTATATTAATATATAATCATGTAATATATACATTTTAAAATTTGTGAATCTTACAATATTTCTTTCATTACAAAAGTGAAATAAAAACAATTATTATAATGAGTTCAAAAAATAGGAAATAAAAATGCAAATTAGTAATGTGGATTAAGAATATTTTTGTCCGGGTTCACTTAAATACCTTTTTCGAATTTTTATGTAAATAATCATTAAGAGTTTGAATTATTTTTATTTTAAATTTTTAAATTTGATTTTTTAATAATTTTTAATAATTTATTTTGTAGATTTTTAATTTTATTCTTTAGAATTTTATATTTTTTATATTTTTAAATTTTATTTGAATAAAATTTTATTTAAACGCTCATTTTACATGTTTTGAACGTTTTTAGAATTTTCACCAATAACACTCCAAATGAAAAAAATGAGTTTTGAGTTTTATATTATAAGTTTATCTTTATTTTCGTAAATACATTTTCAGAAATATCAGACCAAACTCATTTTTAGTGTTTTGAGAAATTGAAAAAATAACTTGAAAACAGTAAATCAAAGGCACCCTTAAATTCCCCTAATTTCCATAAATTTTGCCGTCTTTATTGCACGGAGAGGGAAAGATGATCCATCTTCTCAAGAATTTCTTCACCCAAGAATTTTAATACACGTTACGTCATAGTTGTCACATTGTTCCACATTGGTGTAGGTGTGTGGAATAGATATTACACAATCACGTATCACAATTTCCCTTCTTGGGGTCACACATTATAATTTTTAGGTCTAAGACTCTAAATTAATCTACTTTTCATCGCATTTACATTCACAACCCAATTTTACGGCCGAGTTAACGAAGAAGAGATAGAGGTCATATTTGATGTATCTCTTTTCACAAAACATTGGTCACATTTGACACATTTTTTAGGACAGAACATACGCCAAACACAACCCATTTCGTACGCATTTGTCTCAACTTACTAGAAAAAATGAAGTCAAAAACACAAAAACATCATGTCACATAGTGTATTGACGATGGAGGTCATAATATAAATATTAATTAATGGAGTCATAATCCCATTTTGTTCATGTATACACATTGTCGCATGCATAAGTTTGGAGAAAGAATAAATACCTTACTGAAATTTAGGATGATATACAATGATAGATAAAATATATTTATATATGCCATGTTTCGTCCTTCTATGTCTGTCGATTTCGGTCACATTCCTTGTCTTACATAAATTCATTACTATCCTTTTTTTAAACATTGTAAATTGTAGCTTAAATTTTGATATTTGTGAGAACATAAATTTAATTGCAAATTTTTCTCATAGGTTATTGCAGTTTGAATTTGTCCATCTAAAAATTTGACTAGACCGGTCCATGAACTTATCAATATTATAGGCTAGACAGATTCAACCCATGTGTGGAGATGAGAGCTTGTATGAAAAATATTGTGGAGAAGTGAGTATTTAACTATCTATAGTTAATAAAGTGATTATTTAAGAAAGAAAAAATTATAGCGAAAATTGCAGCCACGGTATCAAATCTTTCATTTAGTAACAGACTTTGTCCAAAATATTTCATTTGTGCCACCCACGGTATCAGATCTTTCGAAAATTTTGCACCTGCAGTCCAAATGGATGGAAACCCATCTATTTGGCCGAACAATAAAACTTGACCAAATGTAATAAGGACAAAACAATAGCTTTATAATTTTAATATAAAATAATTAGAATAATTAAAAAAGGAAGATTCTTCTTCTTCTTCTTCTTCTTCTTCTTCAAACGACACCGTCTCAATCTTCGTTGCCATCTTAACCTTCATCTGACCAGCACCCGATTTCAGCTCAACCTGCTTCGAATTCACAGGAAAATGAGAATTTTGTTTCTAATTCTAATTCTGATAGTAATTTTAATTTCTTCAAGGAGGAGTTTCAAGTTCAATTGGCAATTGCTATTAGTGTGTCGGATCTAAGTCAAAATCATGATCTGGAAATCGCCTAGATCGATGTCGCAAGGAAATTAGTCTTGGGTGCTCACCAACTCAATTCCTTGACGAATTTCACTCGCTTCGTTATCGGTAATTATTGTTTTTGCACTGTTCTTAATTATTTTTTTGTTTGTTGCAAAATCTGGTTCTGATTATTGATTTGAAGTTGTTGTGAGTTGGTCAATGGGCGGTTTTTTAATTATTATAATTATTTTATATTAAAATTGTAAAGTTGCTATTTTACCCTTATTACATTTGGTCAAGTTTTACTGTTCCGGTCAACTAACGGTCGAATGTAGGGTTTCCATCAATTTGGAATACAGGTGTGAATTTTTGAAAATGTTTGATATCGTGGATAGCACAAATGAAAGATTTAGACAAAATATGTTACTAAATAAAATNCTTCTTCTAGAATTGGATCCATATCTGAGAAAAGAAAAAGAAAAATAAATTGGACATAAATCTCTGATTTTTCTGATTTTAAAAGTTACAGATATTGATGGCCAATAATAACAAAAGCATGACACATTTGTTTGTTTCCAATAGAAAACAGTGCATAGAGTAGTTATTATAACTTAGATCTTTTAGGATAATAGAGTAGAAGAGCTTCTTGAGGAAGCTCTCTAAGAGGGCTCCTAATTCAACAAAGCACTTCCAAAAAATTATTCAAACATGCCCAAGATTTTTAAAAGCCTAAATAGTATTGTGGACGCATAGAGTCGTCGAAAGCAATAAGCATAGTCATAGGAGATAACCGTCAACCGACATAGCAAGAAATAAAGAATAAGTTCAGTGCCAATAGCCCTTTCATCAGCCAAAGCAAAGTATTCTACACTGACGGAAAGACTGAATGCACATTCATCAAAGATACCAAAATTCAAGACCTAATCACCTCAGTTATAAATAGCACTAGAAATCAACCAGTTAAATGATCACCACTGCCTAGACAAGCATGATTTACATAATTCAGTTATATGGACAAACAACATCTAGAAGAAATGCTAGTAAATGAAGTACTGTTGCACTCCCATGTAGCAAATTAAGATTACTTGAAAAAAAGAAAAGAAAGAAAAGCAGCTAATATTTCTACAAAGGAAGTTGGAAATGAACACCGCAATCCGATTTAAAAGATCATATACACAATCCCTTCTACTAACAACATATAAAAACAATTGAAAGGGGGAACAGCAAATTGCCAGGTTCTTGTTGTGAGGAAGAAAGCATGAAATAATAGAGTTTTTATCCATTTCACTTGGTTATGTTGTGAAATAAAGGCATTATACTGCCTATTAAATATACTGCCTATTAAAAACATAAATCTACAAGTAATCCTACATGGGTCACAAGGTGAATTGAAATTGCACTAGCTGAAAACATGATCAAAAACATATAATAATACCAAAAATCAATAAGTACAGATACACTAAAAAAAAAAACCCAAAAATGATTTATCATAATTCAACGGAAATGACTCCCCTATGTTTTCCACGGTACATTAGAAATAGAAAAAAAGTCCATAACTTCGAAAAATTTAATCGATGTATGACGATTAATAAAAGATCTGATGAAGAATCAACATCGAATATATTTATAACACTAAATCTACGTCTCTATAAAGCATAAATAAATTAAAATACGTAAAAGGAAAAGGAAATAATCGACCTGCTTGGTGAAAAACCTGAAAGAAAAGCCGTAATCGGTATTGGCCTTCGGGAATTCGGAGGGGTTCTCTATTCTGGATTCAGAGGAGAAAGACACGCGTGAGAGGCACCGATCGCGAGAGACGAGAGAGACGGCGGGTGGAGTTAGGAACTTAGGGCTGCAAAGTGTCTCACACACGAGAGAATGGAGAGATCAGACAGATTTGAGTGAGAGTTGGTTGGGTTTGTGAATTCAAAAGCCCAATCATCTCCAAAAAGAAAAAAAAAAAATTGATTTGGGTTAGGCCCAACTTTAGTCTGCTGGGCTCGCCCCTTGCTAGAAGCCTGAAACCTGTTAGTTTTATATTACTAAAAAATATAAAAAAATAAATCTGGTTTGAGAATTTGTAATTTAAAAAAAAATTTAATTAACAAAAAGTGCGGTTCGGTTTGGTTTTTTGCGGTTTTCAAATTTTGAAACCAAAACGAAACCATTTTGAAACGGTTTGGTTCGGTTTGAGGAAAAAAACCACAGGTCCACGTGGACCCAAACCAACGGTTTCAAACCATCGACTTCGATTCGATTTGCGGTTTCGCGGTTTTTTTGTGCAGTCCTATGGGGAAGTGAGTATTTAACTATCTATAGTTAATAAAGTGATTATTTAAGAAAGAAAAAATTATAGCGAAAATTGCGGCCACGGTATCAAATCTTTCGTTTAGTAACAGACTTGGTCCAAAATATTTCATTTGTACCACCCGCGGTACCAGATCTTTCAAAAATTTTGCACCTGCATTCCAAATGGATGGAAACCCATCTATTTGACCGAACAGTAAAACTTGACCAAATGTAATAAGGGCAAAACAATAACTTTATAATTTTAATATAAAATAATTAGAATAATTAAAAAAGGAAGATTCTTCTTCTTCTTCTTCTTCCTCAAACGACACCGTCTCAATCTTCGTTGCCATCTTAACCTTCATCTGACCAGCACCCGATTTCAGCTCAACCTGCTTCGGATTCACAAGAAAATGAGAATTTTGTTTCTAATTCTAATTCTAATTCTAATAGTAATTTTAATTTCTTTAAGGAGTTTCAAGTTCAATTGGCAATTGCTATTAGTGGGTCGGATCCAAGTCAAAATCATGACCTGGAAACCGCCCAGATCAATGTCGCAAGGAAATTAGTCTTGGATGCTCACCAACTCAATTCCTTGTCAAATTTCGCTCACTTCGTTACTGGGTAATTATTGTTTTTGCACTGTTCTTAATTATTTTTTTGTTTGTTGCAAAATCTGGTTCTGATTATTGATTTGAAGTTGTTGTGAGTTGGTCAATGGGCCCTTTTTTTTAATTATTATAATTATTTTATATTAAAATTGTAAAGTTACTAGTTTACCCTTATTACATTTGGTCAAGTTTTACTGTTCCGGTCAACTAACGGTCGAATGTAGGGTTTCCATCAATTTGGAATAAAGGTGTGAATTTTTGAAAATGTCTGGTATCGTTACTGCAACTTTTCCAAAATTATATTAGATTAGAAAAAAAAGAATCGCTGAGTCCATAACAGAAAAAAATTACTCATAACTTTTAAACTTTTTAATAATCAAGTCAATAATGTCAGTCTTCATAGGTCGTCGAGCTGGAAATCAATTCTAGCATGGTTCGCTTCCCTCATTGTAGTTGACAAATCCGTGAACTATTCCAAATTAGGTCAAGCTAGTTTCTATATGAATTTTTAACGAGATTCTTTCATATCGAAATAATGATAAATCTATATGTATATAATTATTGTATATAATGGATTACATAGGCTCATGTTGAAAAAATTCGACCGTGGATGTGAAATGTGGAAAAGTAAAAAATTGTAGACTACCAAAGGATGCGCTCCACATATCAATTATGTAATGTATTATGTAAATGATTATGTACTTGTAACATGATCTTCGAAATAATATCTATTTTTAATACTTTAGAGCATATTTGGAAGAGATTTTTGAGGAAAGAATTGATTTTGAATAGTGATATGATGGGAAATGTGTGGTTGAAAAAGAAGAAAAAATTATTGATATGATAAAAAATATTATTTTATTGAAAAATGTATGGTTGAAAATGAAAATTGATTTACTTCCTCCCAAATAAGGCAAGGCGTTAGAAACCCACGGAATTTACCGAATACATGAATCAGATTTAGAATACTAAAAGGAGTCAAATCCTAATTAATGTAAAAGTCAATCTGTTGTCAATAGTTTATTATGTACAGAAATTAGGTATCAAACCACCCCATCACACCCAGATTTTTGCCCTGATGCGTGGTAAATTCTCCCAGTAGAAGGCAAAAAAATAAAAATTGCAAACCACTGTTACATTCTCTGTAATCTGTAGTATATAATAGAGACTCAAGCAAGTTCGGGTGTTTTTACCTTCAGTCCCATGTTGAACTATTATGGCGCTAACGTCCTTCCGCCAACCTTCTTCCACTACCCAACTCATTCACTTACTTTCTCTATCTGAACAATATTTCCCAGGCCATTTTTTCTTGCCATCAACCAAATAGAGTTTCTCTCTTTGGTTATCAAGAAGGAAGATTTTTTCACTCTTGGAAGCAAAGATTGTTCTTTTAAGTTGTTCTTGAGTTTTCCTTTTCCTTGTCGTTGTTGAAGTGAAGAGTTGGTTTTTCTTATCATGGATGGCCGGGATGCTCAAAAGATGTGAGTATATACACTCGATGCATGCCATTATTTTTCTTTTAATGAAATTCTTGAATTTATTGAGGGTTTGTTAATTTTCTTGAAGATTTTTTTTTTTGTGGAATTCATTAATAGTTTGTTTATTGTTTTGTTGAGGAAATTCTTGAAATTCTTGATGATTTGATCATATTTTCTTGAAAAAAATCTTGAATGTCTTCAAGGTTGTTTATCTTCAATTTCTGTCTAAAGATACATTAATTTTTGGGCTTATTCTTTTTCTTATTTTTTTTGTAAATTTTGAGTTTGCAGGTTTGACTTGTATATTCATGATTACATGGTCAGGAACAACATGCACACAAGTGCTGATATTTTCGCCAGGGAGGCTGAAGTTATTCCAAACGCTCGTGGTATATAAACTTTCTTGGCCATCCTTTCTGCACTCTTGCTCTGAGTTAATTTTTTTGTAACGTTTCTTCAACTAATCTGTGGGCTTTTATGGCTTATCTTATTTTGGTTGGAAATTAATCCGAGCCACTAGATCTATGCCAATTCGGGAAGGGAAAAAAGTCGATTTCAAAGCATGGGATTAATGCAAAATTTTCTCATCAATTGGAAGCTATGATGTCTCTTTGTTGCATTGATTGTCAAATAATTACACATGTATCTAGCCAAAGAAGCACTAATTATAAAGCTCTTAATTGCTTTTCAAGCCACATTATTTATCGCTCTATTAATAGAATAAGTTGGCTATGATGTCTCTTTGTTGCATTGATTGTTCCAATAATTTAGAAGCACTAATAAGTTTCCCTACCCTAATTTCAAATCATGTTTTCTGGTTTTATCCAGTCATAATTTTGAATGATTTTATTTGGTTTTTCTTAGCAATCAATCCTCGGAAAGAACTTTTAACAGACTGGTGGTCCTTATTTTTGGATGTATACAATGCTAGAGCTGGAGCTGGAGCTGGAGCTGCGAGGCATTCTCAGACTCCAGGAGCATCCTCATCTAAGGTGTCATCCATCATGCATTTCTTTCAAGTCATAAAACTTTTCTATACAAGAGATTTTGCATTCAAGATTTGTCTCCTTTAATTATCAGTTTTAAGTCATATCACTTTTCTATGCAAGATTTATCATCCATCAGTTTTTTTTCATTTCTAACTTTAATGTTCTCAAATCATCGGCAGCAGTTTGCAACTATTGAAGCTCACCTCCAACGAGATTTTATGCCAGACTTGGCAGTACAAACATCAGGAAAACTGGAATTGTCAGCCTCTAGAAATTCAACCAATCTGGGCAATCCTATACCCATTGATGAAAGTTTAAATTGGAAACATTTACAAGTAAGTTGAAGCAATGACTGTGTACTCTAGATAGTCATAACAGTCTGTCTAACTGACAACGAGGGCGGTTTCTCGAACTTTTAAGGGGCTAGTTTTAGGTCGGTTTTTATTTCCTTTTTCTATACCTTGTTGATGTATCTATGATAGTGCAGTATTGATTTGTTTTTGTTCCAGGCACCATAATGCTTGAACTAAAATGCCAGAAATGTTAAAGACATGGAAGCATTTCCATATTTTCTTAATATCGCAATGTCTTCCAGTTTATTATTATGTTATTCCCTTAGCAATATGATCGTGTTAATACTATAGAATCTTTTATTTTTATAGCTATTCATAACACTAAAAGTGGGTTGTTTCCTTCGTAATATATGCTTTCATTGTTTCTGTCTCTTTACATTCGGTTCATATATCTTAATATGGTATTAGAGCATCTCGTCTTGGGATAAACAATCTTCACTTCAGTTCTGCGGTGAGCTTTTCCAGTTTTGCTTATCTCGTCTTGCTAACTTTTTTTTTCCTCCTCTGATAGTGTTTTTTGAGATTTGACTTTCCGTGGTGGTGGCGCTGCCACCTCCGTCCCATTTATTTCCAGTTAAGGCTGTACAAATTTCCTAAGTTTGGCCACAGTCATCGTCTTTGCACAATCAATTTATTATTTATCTCCTGGTTATTCACCTTCTTTTCAAATATTTGTCATCTACCAGTTCCTATATGACCTCATTTTCTCTAAGTTATTATATCTTTTATCAATCAGTTTACAAACTTATTCATAATATAGTAATAATGTGTAATATCATAATGATTACTATTATGTTATTTCCTTAGCAATATGATTGTGTTATAGTATTGTTTCTTTCCTTTTTTTAGCAATTTATAACCCTATAAATAGAGTTGTCCCTTTGTAATTCTTAGACACAAACATTATACAATTTCTCATATTTCGTTACTAATTCTGTCTTAACTACCTTTAGTTCACAATTCTTAACAAGACAGATATATATATAAGCTCAATGAGCATTTGTTCATTCAAATTTCAAATATGGCAGACTGTAAATTTTAATTGAAAGAAATATTTTTTCAATTTATTGATATGATTTTAACATATCAAAATGTTGTGCCTGAATAAATGTGTCCCCTATAATCGCCATTTGATCTCATTTATCTGATTGGACAATGGTTAATTCTTAAGATGTAATCTTCATTATTTATACAAGTTGTATAAAGGAGTTTATCTTAGTTGAGTACAGAAACAAGAAACAATCAATCATTCTCAAGCTGTGTGTGCCTGAGTGCCTTGGTGTTCATATTTTTGTCACATTATGCTCTTTCTCTTTTCTAGAACAAGGGGATTTAAGCATGATGATGTCTTATAAGTTGACACATTGGAGTTGCTTGCATCTGTATATAAAAGTTCTTCAAGTTTGTATCAACAGATTTCCGAACCTTTTTCTGGATAAATTTTGTTTTGGTGCAGACAATATTTTCAATGTTAGTATATGTCTTCGTCTTACTCGATCTTTTTTCTTTGAGCTGTAGAGTGGAAAGAATGTCGCGGAGGAAGAACCCTTCGATGTTGACTGCTTTTTCAATGATAATCCAGATGACATGAGCACTTTGCCACATAGTTCTCCAGCATGTGATAAAACTGAACAAAAAGGCCAGTGTATAGTTCAATTTCATGTTTAAATTATTCGATAATTTTAACCTTGGAAAGACTCTTTCATTATCGGAACGTATATATTAAAGGATGATGAAGAAAAGGGATAATGTTTGTTTCCCCTTCTTTGTTCCATTAACTATGTAAGAATTTGGTGAAGTAACTCATAAACTAGGAAAGTTGAAGACTCAAAGAGTCATCTTGTTGATCTAGTTCCCTACTATTGTGTATCGAGTTCTAAAGTTCTATACATAAAGATGAAGATGCAAACGAACAATTTCATCAGGCTACTTAGATTGTGTTGATTGAAAGATCGTGATTTCTCTATATTTCAGGCCTCTCTTTTGAAGAAGTTGAAAGCTTCCAAACTAAAACCAAGCTTAGATGTTGCCATTTTGCAGCATCGGGAAAGTTATTAGCTGCTGCTGGGCATGATAGTAAGGTTGATACAGTGCTTCTCAATCCTTTACCCTTCTGAATTTGCGTTGAAGATTTACATTTCGCAAACAAGGATTTTGTCAAAAATTTTATCATAAGCTAACAAATCTTGCATAATTTTGTAATAGGTACTGATTTGGAATCTGGAATCTCTTTCAACGAATATAATAAAAGGATATTCACTTCTCATCACAGACATCCGTTTCAAACCAAATTCAACCGTTTTTGCAACATCTTCGGTTGATAGAGTAGTGCAAGTATGTGACGCGGTCAAGGTGATAAACTTTTTCCTATTCCTTTTTCCTGTACAATGGTTGTTGCCATTTCTGAGTTTTTTCTAACATATCGTGTCAGCCAGACCTACCATTCACGGGCTTTTGCATAAAATATTTACTTCAAATTTTGGAGTTCTTGGTTGTGATTATGTACATACTAAAAATATTGATATGTTATTTCTATCTTTTCTTCAAATATTTATGCAAGTAGCTTTTAAGTATGGTGTCTGAAAGCATTGCCCTAAATATTTCAAAGAACATTGTTTGACATGGTCTAAAAACATTAAAATAGACCAAATGACTTATTACTATCTGGAATGGAATGCTTACATATTTCATGACTGTGATGTTTTAGCCGACAAAATCAAATTCTAGGCTTGTTGGGCATGCTAAATCTGTGATGTCATTGGATTTTCACCCAACAAGGGTCAATATCCTCTGCTCTTGCGATAGCAATGATGAGATTCGATTGTGGAATGTCAACGAATCTGCTTGCATTCACGCTTTTAAGGTTAGTTATGTAGTTTTGTGGAAGAGCATATGTTCTTATTTTGCTCATTCACTGTCGTAGTTAATTTACTCTCATGTAATTATCTTCCTGTTGGGTGAAGGTATAGGCCGGTTTGGTGTAGCTTAAAAAGTTTATAAAAATTTAAGTCAAGGTCAACAATTAATTTTAACCATACATTTTATCAACTTTATCAAAATCTACTAAAATTTTGAATTTTTTAGCTACACCAAACAGGGGCATAATTTGGTGGTTTGGACTTCATTATATGTTGATAAATGGTTTTAAGAGTTGTTTCAATTTCCAGTTAAATTCTGAGTTTTCGTACATGGCAAAGAACTACAATGTACATAAGGGTGCAAATTAGTGTTTATTAAATATTTGAAAGTAACTTTGGAAGAAATATTAACAGCTGAAGACAATGTATCTAAATTCCCCATTATATTCTTTAAGATGGCTCTAACTTCTGATTTTTTTCCATGGTGCAACTGTAGGGAGCAAATAGACAAGTTAGATTCCAACCTCAATCTGGGAACCTTTTGGCTGCTGCTACAGGAAATGTTATCAATATGATTGATGTTGAGACTAGCACCATCCAGTACCGGTTAGAGGTACGATATAATTTGTTGAATCAATCTAAATGTATGTTTGTTATGAAGGATTGTACTGGACGAACAAGATTTTAGTTTCTTTCACTTTATTAGTACCGTTCAGTGCTATCTAATCCTCTATACCCAAGATGCTATATGTGTCGTTCTTGCATGCATTAAATTAGATATTATATAAGTTTATCCCTTCAATTTCTAGGGACATACCAAAGATGTTCGCTCCATGTGTTGGGATACCAGTGGCAGATACATGGCTTCTGTCAGTGAAGACTGTGCACGCATATGGTCAATTGAAGCAGGCGGAAAATCTGTGCATCAGTTGCAGTCCAGTGAAAATAAATTTGTGTCCTGCACGTTTCATCCTGGGTATTCACTAGTCCTGGCCATTGGTTCTTACCAGGTATGAAATGTTTCCTTTTACAGTATTCTGATTGTTCTTACCGTGTATTCACTAGTCTTGGCCATTGATCTTCATCTTGTACTGCGATGTGTTACATATATTTTCTGTAGTAAACTTCTTCAAACATCTTCATTTCGAATTTACTTGTTTAAGTGCTTCACAGTCACTTCAAATCTGGAATCCAATGGATGGCAGCAAAATGTGGACCCATCGTGCGCACGAGGGAATAGTTTCTGCATTGACAAATACCTCTGTGAATCATAGGATTGCCTCAGTGAGCAACGATTCGTGGATGAAGGTGTGGGAATAGAAATGTTTACTCTTCAGAAAAATATCGATTCGGACACAGATATACAAATTCTTTTACTGTCCTACAGTGGTTGTGTAGCTTAATTCAAAATTATTCCTTAATTATCATAAGAATGCTTAAAAATCTCAACTCTCGAGCATAATCATTGTCGGGGAATGGATATAAATCAATTGATTCCTTTGTGTTCATCAAGGAACATGAATTTTATGTTGTTTAAGACTTTAAGTCGATAAATGTTTGAATGGTTCTTCTTATACGAGTTAAATATCTAGAGTTTTACATGTTTGAAGTTGGATGAACACTTTACTCATTGTTGAGATTTCGGAATTCTGTTATCTATTTGCGAAGAAAATTGGTTCACGAATTTTTGTACATACATGCATAGACAGGAGTTGGAATTTTTTAAAACCTCGTAAATGACTCATATTCAATACTTATATTTAGAAGTTGGGCGTGGTCCGGTTTCCAAAGGAACCGAATCGTACCAAGCACTAATGAGAATATTAGAAATGGAACAACTGGTTTCATATTTAAATATAGAACCGAACCAATCAATTCTGATTATGTCCGATCCGATTCTTTACATTAAAATTTATAAAAATAAAGTATGAAAATACTTTTTCGAAAGATCCTGTTGGAATATCGAAAATTGGAGTGGCGGAAGCTAGAGAACCTAATTTCAAAGTACCAGAAAGAAATACAACAATTGAAATGGGAGAGGCAGAGTTGAAAAGAGGATTTCTCACTTTTTTCGTCATCAAAACCACACATATGACTAGAATAATCTCCGAGGAGAAGATCTTGATTAACCATTTGAAAACATCGAAAAATTTGAGTTTTAAAAAAAAAAAAAAATTAAACTAAAAATAACTTTTCCAATTGGATTGCATTAAACCTATGAATTTTTGTAAAGTATTTATAAAATTATTTAAATTTAAATATTGATTACCCATTAGATTTTACTGTAAAAGAAAGAAGAAGCATATGAAAAGTCGAATTCCTCATGATTCCTAAGGCCGTACAAAAATCGGGCCAAAATTGATCGATACTTGATGCATGATCCCGAAATAATCCATTTAATAAAGGAACCAAAATCGAACCGACTGCTCTATCTAATTCCTGTCCGGTTCCAAGAGTTTTAGGAAAAAATGCCCACTCTAGTTATATTGGTTAAATTCTTGTTACTTGTTTATAAATGCAGGTTTATTTTTCCTTATAATTGTGACTCCTAATGGACATAGACAGATTAGCGCAATTTTATGCAAGGATTGCAATTTGTTTATGTCCGTATTCTGTTCAATTGCGGTGCAAAACACAGTTTAAGGACCCAAATTTTAAAGTTCGACTGAGGTCTAGGAAGGTCCCGTTGAATTGGGAACCTCGACAAGGTTCCGAATCTCATTCATGCAGATTATAGACTCCCTATGCAGAAATGGACGAGCAACGGATACAACGAGCAATTCGATCTGATTAAAATTCAAAGACGATGCAAGGATTTCGAGATTAGTCGACTCAAATGAGTCACCATCTCCCGGGGCATGTTAAGGGAAAAATCTCACATCAGTTAAATATCAAAATATAGAGCAACGTATAAGGGCTTGAACAACTTTTCTTAATAAGTTTGACCTTTTAAAATGAAACTCAAGTTTTAACAGCATGTTGTATGGCCCGACTTGCAGGGCCGAATTGTTCTGACTAGAAAAAAACGAGACCTGGAAATTAATTCAATTTTGGTGCACTTTTTAGTTCCACGATGCCTTGGGTATTTTCCCTGTAGATGTTGATTAATAAAATCTGGCTAATTTATTTCAAGAACTTTTTCTGATGTCTTCCAAATATCTCTGTTCAGGGGCATACCTTTGTTTCACGGGTTTTTAAGCGAATTTCAGAATTTAAGCTCCTAAATCGTAGCAAGAAATCAATTTTTTTTTTCATTTATAAGAATTTTATGGAATTAAATTTGTTAATTTAAAATCAACAATAAAATAATAAAATGAAATATTCAAAATATATATATTACAATCAAATAACAATGCGAAAATATTTTAAACTTGGTGAATTTATGTTGAGCAGAGCGAGTCTTAGAGATAAAAAGTATTAATCAATTTTGAATAGTCGAGGTATTCACTCATTTCCTTTTCAATAGATAATATGGTTAATTCATTCAATCTTTACTGTGACAAAGTTGATTGGAGATAAATCTTGATTAATTTCAAGTTGGAGAAACTTCTTTCTGGTGATATAATTATAATCGGTATAGTATTTGACTTACTTTTTTGACCTCTAACTGATTTCCTAAATTTTTCATTCCACAAGTACAAAATCAAATCAAGATTTTTGTTTTTATTTTATAATATGAAAATGATATCTATGAAGCCAAATTTGTGGGGAGAAAAAAGTCCAAACGATCTATTAATAGAAAAGGGAAAATAATAATAATAATAAGTGATTATTAATATTTCTAATTTAGCTATAGTGGAAGAAGATTTCATTCTATTACATGTGTATAGTAAATACACTTCGCATTCATAATGAGTTCAATTTCACATAAAATATGTAATAAACACCTTATCTGTAAAAATGGTTAAATTTTACACACTTTCTCACTTTGCACAAGGCTCACAGTCTTTGAAAAAAATTGTTATTGCAACAACAATAACGATATATTATTTAAGGTCATAAATATTTTCATAATATAAAATTAAAATGAAAAAAATTAAATCACATCATATTTAACTATATATTGCACTTAATTACCCCATAGAAGGCACAAATTCACATTAATTAATAACGGATTATAGATCGAGAAAAGAAATTCAATCTCACACACAAATCAATGATCCAATCAACAGGATATTGAAAAAATGTAATTGAATTTAGAGACAAAATTATACAGTAATCAATTAAATGTATAAAATATATCAATCAATGCAATTAAAAAAAATTCGGGTTAATAAACGATTAGATCAATAATGAAGTGTGTAACGATGCATAAATATATATTAAGGGGGTGTTACACAATGGAATGAGTATTCCTAATCTAGACACTAATTCTATAATTTACGATATCATTGTTAAAGAAGTTTCATTGTTTGGAGCAACCAATCAAGGGTGAACAAGTATAAACGACAATGAATTTTTAAAATAAAGAAGGAAGCCAGAAACAAAAAAAAAAAAAATTGGGCCCGCTAAAGAGTTGGGTCTGAGGCAACAGCCTTTTGGGCCTCTCTTCAGGTCCGGCTATGTTTCTGTTACTAAATCCATGGAAAATCAATAAGAAATTATTTCCATTGATGAACTGCAACTTTTATAGAACACTATGGTGGAAATATTATAACTGTTAGCTAATAATCCACATAAAAAAAAAAAAAAAAATCAATAAATATTTTAATCTTTCCCCCATATTCACTATTACATGTCTCTCTATAATCTTGCTTCAGACTCCAAATGATTTAAAGGGATGAAAAGCTGATAAATGGGACTTTCAGGGACTTGAAATTCTCAGTGTTTCTTTGCCTCTTTCTCAGCCTGCAAGAACAATTTTATGAGTCAGTATGTGTTTAATGCATATATCAATGTCTCGCTCTGTGTGAGTATGGGGGTTTCCTCGACTAGCTTCTTACCGCTTTGATAATTCGGTCGAAGGCTTCGGGACCATAATTCTCGATGTATTTTTCGACTGATTTCCTGGCGTCCAGGCTCATCATCTGAAGTACCCTTCTCTGACCTTCAGGATAATTTGGGTTCACATAACTTCCAACTTTGACATATTTCCTCACAAAATTCTCATAAACGTAAGCAGCTCCATTGAAAACTGGCAACACTAGCCACATACAGAATGTCAGCTTGACGTATGGCCAGATTGGGAACCTGTAGGAATTTTGGAAAATAAACATAATTTCTTATATATGAATTTGTTGAAGACGAAAATTCAAATAAATAAACTTCTTTTCTGTCTTAAGTTTTTAAATGAGTTAGTTCAACGTGAAGATGTGCATGATCATATATGAAACTTGGTGTGGGCTCCTGTATGATTACTCGAGTGGCTTCAGCGTTGACATTGCAAAACCGGAAGAACTGCCAACAGTACAGCCTTTTCCGGTTGAACCGTCTGGTTCTGCTATTTTGAAGCCATTTTTTTATCAAACATTTTCAGCGGCTACCTGACCCAGTTTTGTGGCTGGTCCTCAGTTTTACCGGTTGAACTAGCCAGGCAAACCTAGGGATGTCAAAATGGTTTGCGATTCGTGGCTCAGTCCGGGAAAAGTCCGAGCTGATCCGGCTCGTGGCTCGGGCCCGAGCCCCATTTTGGGGCATCAGCTCTAGCTCTAGCCAGCCCGTGAGCCCATGTTCGGGCCATTTCGGCCCACCAAGCTGAGCGTTATAAAAATAATAATAATAATAAGAAGAAATTAAAACAATAGATTTTAAATTCATGCCGGTATAAATTGCACAAATTTTAATTTTATTTTTTAAAAAAAAAATTAGATTTGCCACAAAAAAAGAAAGGAGCTGAGTCTGGGCTCGGTCAGGCCAGCTAAGGCAAAAGCTCGGATCGAGCTTCTGCTCGGTTTGGCTTCGACCAAAAAAAGTTCGAACCATTTTTGCTCAGGCTCTTCAAGTTTCGACTCGTGGCTCAATTCATTGACATCCCAAGGCCTATTCTAATGTCGGGCCCGTTCTCATAAATTGATATATTGACATAGAATTCAGCTATTACCATTGAAGGACTTTCCAACAAGAAAGCTCAAACAGGGTTGTCAGTGAGTATAAAATCCAATATGTTAACCACTGCTGATCATCCAGTGTCGAAGGACTCTCAATTGCTCTCAATGATGCATACCTGTTCATTTATTCATTAAACTATTCTTAATTTATCACAAAAATTGAAGGAATTTCTGTATGAAAAAAGACAAAAATATTTTGGACTTACAAAGGATATAGAAGCATCGCTCCAGGTCTGTATATTCCTCAATCAAGAAAAACAGCAAAAAATTAGATATAAATGGACTTACAGTAAATAAATATTCATGAATTATTAACTTTGATAAAATATATTATCCAGATGTCTGGAATCATTAAAAAATAAATCTGGAAAAAAAAATTAAAATTTTGGAAAAATGGGGATTGAAAGCACCCAATGAGAGCATCCAAATGTCTTGCAATGGCTCCAAGAATACCCATCTTGATATTACACTTTTGTTAGCCTGAAAATCCTCCTTTTTTCTCTCCGGTATTTCGAATTGACAGAAAATATTGGCGAAGTGATTCAAATTACTGTATGCTTAGGGTTTTTATAAATATTTTCTTAGTTTTTCATCGAATGCAATATGAAGTAAAGAATTTCCTTCATGACAAGACAAAGTTTTGTTTCCTTGGACAGGAAGAAAAGGCAAGTACGAGAATGAGACGGCAAGAAAGAGAAAAAAAGCGAAAGGTGATATGCAAAGGCGAACTAGTTGAGTTTCCTTTCTAATACTTTTGAGGATTGAATTTATACCTTTCTTTCTAAGTCGTTTCATGCTTGTTTGGGCCCAATTTTTGTCAAAAAAAATAAAAATGCATTTTTGAATAGTTTATTGATGAAAAATGTGTGGTTAAAAAATGAGGAAAAATTTTGGATTTGCGTATAATATTATTTTATTAAAGAATGTGTGGTTGAAATAAAGTTAAAACACAAATCAAGAATGCATTTTTTTTTTTTAATGAAGCTCAGACATGGGGATAATAAGTAATTATTTCACCCATTTTCCCTAAAATGAGTTTAAAGAGGAATGGGAAAATCTTTAACATTTCTCTTGAAATGAAGACTTTATGTTATTGGGTTTTGATACCCAATAAATTCGGACTATGATGCTAAATCGGTATATTAGTTGGATAATATTTCATAGGCATCGACCGATGATTGAAATGATATGTTGACACCACAATCGGACCAATCGAACCACGTAACCCACTGGGCCATTTGAAGTAGCCTAATTGTATTAGTGCTGCTCATGACACGACCCGAACGATTTGGATGGCTTTAAGAT